TTAATCAAATCAAAAACATCATAAAAGGGCCTGAAACTAGAACCAATACACTAAATGAGACAGCCTGCAGTGGAAAAAGTACTAGACAAAGTTTGAATCCCTGCTTTGCCACTTATTTAGGTGACCTTAGGCACTGCCCAAAGGTCTCCAGGCCTCCTCATCTGTCAAATGGGGGGCGGGGGGAGGATGAACTACTGCTCTAGAAGCTAAAGAGGGGCTCACTTTTTGAATAAACATGAAACCGTAACTGTGGTGGGCTGGCTGCTCTCTCAAATTTTCCCTACCACATCACAAAAATCACTTCTCTCCAGCAGTAGTGCTGCTTCTGTCAATGATCACAACTGGATGTTGTTTTAACTAAGACTACTTTGGGGAAGACGAGTCATTTTGCTATGCCAATGAAACAATTCCAACTTAAAGGAATTTTTTTTGATTCTTCTTAGTAATGTATAATTTCATTTATTTAAAGTACGGTTAAGCAGCAGTCAGAACACCTGGCCCTTCCTCATATTTGTTGCATAAAAAGGACTGGGCCACAAAACTCTTTTTAAAAAGCTGCAACATCTAAATTAGTGAAGTCTTTGCAAAACTGAGTTTCATCAGAACTCTAAAAAACGTATGGCTGCCTGGTCACTCACTCCTTTGAGGCCACTAAAATCAGTTCACAATCTGGTGCATGCATTTGGCAAATAAAGCATGTCAATCTGCAAATGGCCCCATCAGCTAGATAAAATGCAGAGAAACTGCAGGCTAGTGTGCATGTAACATTATACTGCTCACTCCACCTGTTCTTGTCAAGTACCGTATGAGAAAACTAGGGCCCGAGGCAAAATGGGCCTGCAACAAAGTTTTAGATGGAAGCAGGTATAAAGCTGAAAAATTCCAGAAAATAGAGAACATGAGATTATTGATCTACAGCCAAAAGGACCTCAGAGGCAATATAGTCCAACCCACTCATTTTACAAATCAGAAAACTGAGGCCTACGGATCTTAAGTGACCAACTCAAGGTTACTCAGGCCCATCAAGAAGGAATTTTATTTTGGAGGGAGGGGTCCAATAAGAGAGATAAATTTACTTATAAACTTCCAATTACTCTAACCTAATTGAGATTCAAATTTTTAAGTCCACTAGATAATGTCTAATGTTACTTACACACTACGCCCAATCATTCCATCATAACTTTTCTTCTGAAGGGCTCAACTCACTTGAATAAACAATACTTGTTCCCATAGCATGTTACAGTTAAAACTTTTCACGAGCTTTTGATCCTAACAGAAATTGTGAGATAGGCAACATTATGTTAATAATAGTCAAAATCAAACAATGACATCATCTTATTTTAATACATACCCACAAGGAGAAAAATTATATTGCTAGCAGGTCTGCAATACTAAAATTCCTCCCCTAAACTATACTGGTTTAATATAAGCACCAAGTCATCTTTTTCAAAGAACAGACAAAACAGAATGGCATTTTTTATGACAAAGGAAAGCTGAGGGACATTTAATATTTTCAAATTCTACAGTTCCAATGGGTTACCATCCAAGTTTATGCAAAAAGTGTAAATATTTACTGTAAAATTAAATAAGAGTATCCAAGGTCCATTAAAACTACAAGGACTTAAACCCGTAAACATCAATTTATAATTAAAGGTCTACACTAATGTGGAAATATGTTTAATATGTATACATGTATAGCCTTTATCAGATTGCATGCCGACTTGGGGGGGGGGGATTTGGAACTCAAAATCTTATTAAAGTCAATACTGACAACTAAAAATAAATAAGAAACAAGCAATTGGAGAAATATCAGTTGCTCATGGGTAGGCCACGGCAATATAATAAAAAGGACAAATCTCCCTCTCTCCCCCAATAAAAAAGTCTACAGCTTCATTTTATCTACACTTTAAAGCATGAAATCTTTCCCTCAGATGCCTTCATATCACTCACAGTACAGCTTTAGAAACCACAACTTGGGCAGACGTAATTTATGTATAATCTTAAACCAATTAGTTGCATTTTTCAGAATTGTCTTCCATCTGTAGTAAAGCGCCGTAGTAAGAGTAAATGAGAATTCTAGAGGATGAGGTACGCCGTTCTCTCACCTGTCATTTCCCCCTCATTTGGTTTCCAATCTAACTGAAATCAAACGTAAGATGTTCATTTAGGTCCATGCTATGTGACAGCTTTACAGGTGAGACCACAGTACAAAAACCTCTCCGGGTTTCTGGCAACTAAATGGCCCTGGACTAGACCCAAGACAAATTTATATTACAATAAATTTTGTGCCCTTGATAAGTGTCAAAACTGTGACCTTAACATTTTGGTTTTAAATAACTGAATTAGCACCTGATACATTCTCAGTGTTGATTAAATATAAAACAGCATTACCTATGTGTGCCTGTGTATAAAATCAGGGGACAAATACATTAAGGCCCTCATTAAGTACTTGCTATTAGCTAATATTTAGTTATCCCTAATTGGCTTTTATTTTGTAATTTGTTCCCAGTTCCTATAAATCAAAAGGCCTATTACTGATCAGATTACAAGCATTCATTCACCAGGTCCAATCAAAGGAAACACTCCTGATTTAGTCACATTACTGATGAGTAAAGCAGTCTCTGAGATCATACCTTTCACATACCTCACTCCTACAAGTGAAATAAGCTGAGAAGGGAGCGAAATAATTTTGCCTTGGATCACATTTGGAGCCAGCTCAAATGGCATCAAGATGGTGATATTCAGAGCTAAAAGGTCAATTTTTATTTTATGAGGTCAACGGGGGAAATTGCAAATTTATATGATAAAACGTAATATTAAAAAGATCTTTTTTTAAAAATCTAAAGAGGGCACTGGTTTTGGGAGTCCTAAATATGAACAAACCTTCATATTCTGTCTCAGACCAAGCGTCTTACTAGCTGACTGTGGGCAAGTCCTTTCCCCTCTCTGGGTCTTGATTCTGTAAAGGAAGGGAGCTGGACTCTATAGTCTCTACTGCCCTTCTGACTCCACACCTATACATGACTAGATGAACTCTGAGCTCAGTAAAGCCCTTACTATGCACCAGGCACTGTACTAGGCGCTGAGGATACAAAGAAAAGCAACAAGGTCCTAAAAAAAGTGGTCAGGAGTGACAGTAATGGAAACAAATGGCAATCATTGAAAACGGCAGAAACTTTGGACGGAAAGAAATGTCTTATTTTAATACATCCATCAAGAAGAAAAACTGCATTTCTAATAGAATTGGTGTACTAAAACCCCATGTGCTAAATTTTAAAAGTTTTAATACTATTCTATTTCCACCAAAAGACCGCTCTACAGCCAAGTAGCAAGGGGATCCTGGGCTTCCTCCATCACCTCACCTGGCACCTAGCACACGGTAAGCGCTTAATAAATGCTTGCTGACTCATCCCAGAGTTCAAGTAATTGTGAGAGCAAAGGATCGCAGAGATAGAGCTGGAAGGGACTTCAGAGGCCAAGGAGTTCAACCCCCCCATTTTACAAAGGAGGAAACTAAGGCAGAGAGAACGGAAGCGTCCCAGCCAGGCAGCTAAGATGTGTCTGAGGTTTCCCAGGACAAGTTCTGTGCCCTAACCATCGGACCACCTAGCCAGTGGAGGGACAGCATCAGTGGGTGGTGGAGTTTCAGCTTCAGCTCTTTCCACTGCCCCTCCCTGATCTTTGGCGATATCTTTCCACTATTTTCTATTTCTGCGCGCACAGCTTTCCTTGTCTATGTCTGCGCCTTGCCTCCCCCGTTAGAGTGCAAGCTCCTGGAAGGCAGGGGCCGTCTCTGGCCTCCTTGTGCTGCACCCCTGAGCTTTGCCAGTGCCTTGCATCCAGCAAGGGTTTCCACCATTAAGGCAGGCCGTTAGACCCCAGCCCCGACCTCTCCCACCCTCGCGCTGGGGATGTGATTCCATCAATGCAGGACAATCGGCGCGCATAAAGCGCCTACTGGGTGCCAGGCCCGGCTGGGCGCGGGGAGAGGCCCAAGCCCAGGCTCTTCCCGAGATTTCGTGTCTACAGAAACGGCCGCGGCGGGCTGCTTGGCGGGAACCATCAAATCGAGCGGACGAGGGACTCGCGTGTCTGTCCACGAAGTACCGGGGAGGAAGTGGGGGGTGGGAGGGGAGGAGCTGGACCCCTCCCATTCGTCGGGGCGTTAAACACCCCGGCGGCAGAGTGCGGGCGCCTGGAGGGAGCTGGGTTCGAATTCGCCCTCGGACCTTTGCTAGTCCCCGCCTCGGGCCTCAGTTTCCCCGCCCGCGCCACGAGGGCGCCGGGGCCGGGCCGATCTCGGCGGGTGAGCGGGAGGCCCCGCGCGGACGCCCCACCCGCGCCCATTCATTCGCCGCCACGGCCGCCGCCAGCAGCGTGCTCCCTCCCGCCCGCCAGCCCGGGGCCCGCCGGGGGCGCGCAGGCGAGGCGGCGGGGGCACGCGGACGCGGGCGCGCGCGTGCAGGCCCGATGCGGCCCCCCTCGAGGAGCCCGAGCCGGGGCCCGACCCCACCGCTCGGCCCGCCGCACCCCGCCGGAAGTCTCCGGCGCCTCCCGCGCGCTGCCCCGACGGGCTCTGGCCAAACCCCTCCCGGCTCCGGCCAGGCCCCGGGCTCGGGCTGCCGCCGCCGGCCCCGCGGGGCTGAGGGGAGGAGCCGCGGCGGAGACGGAGATCCTGCAGGGGGGCGGAGGGGGACGGCCGCGGCAGTTACCTTAATAATCCTGCGGGGCAGCCCGGCCATCTTGTCTGATCCGGAATTCAGCCTCGGGGTCTCGTCTCCGGCTCCGCTCGCCTCACGCACGAGTGGAAGTCCCGGGCTTCACTTCCGGGCGACGCCACTGCGACGCCGTCACCGCCGCTGCCGCCGGGCCCCACGGGAAATGTAGTCCCGGCCGGCCCGAGCTGTAGGCGAAGGCCCCTTCCCTTAGCCCCCGCCCCTCCCTCCGCCTCCCGGCCAAGAGAAGGAGGCGGAAATGACGCAAGCCTGGCGGGACGGGAAGGAGAGGGGGGGCCCGTCGTCTCCCTCCTCTCCTCTCCCCCGTCTTTCCAGACCCCGCCCTGGTGACAGCGAGGTGGGTCCGACCTTTGGGAACTGGCTGCCCCCAACCCTGTTCCGTGGGATGGCTGGAGGGGAGGACGGCCGTAGCAGCCGTCCACTCATTCAGGTATCCCTCCCTCCCTCCATTCATCTTTCCTTGCATCCATTCATTCATCTTTTCATCCATCCAGTTATCCATCATTCCTTCCATCCATCCATCTCTATTCGTCCATCTTTCCCTCTATACCTCCATCGATCTATCCATCAATCCATCCATCCATTCATCCTTCCCTCCCTCCATTCATCTATCTATCCATCCATTCATTCGTCTATTCATTCATCCTTCCATCCATCCAGTTATCTATCATTCCCTCCCTCCCTCCATGTCTATTCATCCATCTTTCCCACGATCCCTACAGCAGTCTATCCATCTCCTCATCCATCCATCCATTCATCCTTACCTCCATCATCCATCCATCCAGTCGTTCATTCATTTATTCATCCATCCTTCCATCTGTCCATTTATCCATCATTTCTTCCTCTATTCATTCATGCATCCCTTCTTCCCTCTACTCATCTATTCATTCATCCTTCCCCTGACCCTCCATCAATCTATCCATCCATTCATCTCTCCCTCCATCCATCCATTAGCCCATATTTCCCATTCATCTTTCCCTCCATTCATCCATCATCCAATCATCTCTCCATCTATTCATCCATCCTTCCATCCATGCATTTATCCATCATTCTTTCTCTCCCTCCCTCCATCTGTCCTTTCCTCTCTCCTTCCATTGGTTCATCTGTTCATCCCTTCCACCATCCATCCATCCATTCACCCATCCCTCTTCCCTCTATCCCTCCCTTCCTCCCTTCATTCACCCATCCATCCATCCCTCCATTCATTCATTCATTTATAAAGTCATGTGGGTTCACAGGCCACCTAGTTCAACCCTCTCATTTTATAGATGAGGAAACTAAGGCCCAGAGAAGAGAAAGCCAAGATCACAGATCTAGAGCTAGAAGTGACCCTGGGGGTCATAGGGTCCAGTTTCCTCATTTTGCAGATGAGGAGATAAGCTTAGAGAGGCGGAAGTGACTGATCCAGGTTACACAGGTAGTTAGGGTTGGAGGACCAGCATCTGGTTAACATATATTGAGAGAATTGGAAGGGACCTTAGAGGTCACTTAATCCAACCCCCTCATTTGATAGATGGGGAAACCGAGGTTCCATAGAAGTTAAGTAACGTAGGATCATGGGTTTAGATCTGAAAGGGACATTAAATATCATCTAGTCTGACTCCATTTGTCCAGATGAGGCAGGAAAGGTGACTTGCTTTAGGCCATATTGATGATAAATGGTGGAGGCAGGATTAGAACTTGGGTCCTCTAACTCCATGTTCAGCACTCTTTCCAGTGTCCACCTGTCATCTGAACTTGAACCCAGGACCTCCAATCGCAAATCCAGGGATCATTCCATTATACAATGATCATCTAGTCCAACCCCAATCCACATGGTGAATTCTGTCTGCAATATCTCTCACAAGTGCTCATTTAGCTAAATGAATCCAATCAATTGATAAGCATTTATTAAGCACTTACTGTGTGCCAGGTACTATGCTAAACACTGGAATCCAAAAGTCAAGCAAAAAAAACCATTAACCCCTGCTCAGTAGCACTGACCACATGGAGAGAAAAAAAAAGAATGCCTTACCTTGACTTATATTCTGTAGAGGAAGCAATACGTGTACAGATAAGTAAATACTAAATACATAGATGGTAAATGTAAGGTAATTTGGGGTGAGGGAGGCACAGCAGCAGAGAAAAGAATAACAGCAGCTAACATTTATATAACTGTATAGATAGATATATAGATAGATGTAGATATATATATATATATAGATAGATAGATAGATATATAGATAGATGTAGATATATATATATATATATAGATAGATAGATATATAGATAGATGTAGATATATATATATATACGCACACACACATAGATATTGCCAAGCATGGTCCTAAGCACTTTAAAATTATCTTACTTGATCCTCACAACAACCCTGGGAGGTAGGTGCCATTATGATCCCCATTTTGTAGATGAGGAAACTGAGGCCAACAGAGATTAAGTGATTTGCCAGATAGCTAAGAAAGGTCTGAGGCAGGATCTGAGCTCAGATCTTCCTGACTCCAGGCCCAGGGCTCTATCCACTTTGCCACCTGGCTACATCTTACTGTGTATGCCAGGCACCATGTGTTAGTACTGGAGTAACAGAAAACAAAATGAAAAGCTCCCTTGATTCAAGTTTATGTTCTACTGGGGACCCATCATAAAAAAGACCCCGCAATGATGAGTAATAATTACTGTTCCCAAGATAACCAGTTCTAGTTTTGAACCCCTCTTTAGGGAAATGTTTCGTTAAGCCAGAAAATAGACAAGAACTAAGATTTCACAGGAATAGAGGGTATCTTACAGACCATCTATTATAGGAGTTCATAACCTGGGCATCAGTGAACTTGTTTTAAAATATATTTTTGATAACGATATTTCAATATAATTGGTTTCCTTTCTCTTATATATTTTATTTTCTGCATCTGAAAACATTATTCAGAGCAAGGGTCCAAAAGCTTTACAGACACTGCCTAAGGGGTCTGCATCTCAAAGATAGAACCCATGGTCTGTCTCTATCCCAACCCTCTCACATCTTAAGGAGATGGAAATGGGATCAGATAGGTTAAGATACAAGAAGGTTATGGTCTAGTAGAGGAGATAAAATGATTTCTTAGTATTACTGTGGCTAACTATATTCATGACTTATTTCCCCCAGTGATTTTCAAGCTTTTGCAGGGTAGGGCCTATGGATAACTGTATCTTTATATTCTACTGATTCTTAGAAGCTGAATGACCCAGAAAGTCACCTACCTTCAATTTCCTCATCTATAAAAATAGGAGTGCCAGTGAGTGTTGAGAATTGAGAAATTCATATGTAAAGCATTTTGCACGTTATCTCCAGTTTATCTTGGATAGATCCAGTTTGTATACAGTTGTTTACATGTTGACTTCTCCATTAGACTGGGAGCTCCTTGAGGGCAGGGACTGTCTTTTGCCTTTCTTTGAATCCCCAGTGCTCAGCACAGTGCCTGGCACACTTAATAAAGGCTTGTTGACTCGATTTTGCAAACCTTAAAACTATGTAAATCGCCACCATCATCACTGTCATTGACTTATATGAAGTAGGTGTTTCTCTACTCAATTAGAAAGCCGAGATACGCTTCTCTATTGTGGTCATTCAAAAGAAAGCCTGACAGGAGAATTTTGTAGTTTGTCCCAGGACATATTCCATAGCTGGCCTAGAATGGTGATTTTTTTTTTGAGGCAGTCAGAGTTAAGTGACTTGTCTAGGGTTGCCCAGCTAGTCTGAAGCTAGATTTGAACTCGGGTCCTCCTGACTCCAGGACTAGTGCTCTATCCATTATGCTACCTTGCTGACCCTAGAAACTGGCGTGATTTTATTAGTGGAAATAACATTAAAGAAAAGGTATTGAGGCAGCTAGGTGGTGCAGTGGATAGAGCTCTGGCCTTGGAATCAGGAGGACCTAAGTTCAAATCCGGCCTCAGATACATGATGCTCACTAGCTGTGTGACCCTGGGCAAGTCACTTAACCCTGATTGCTCATCAAAAAAAAAAAAAGTATTACCATCTGTTTGGCCATCACACCCCAAAAACTAGTGGATTTTTACATCTGACTTGCAGCTGCAACCTTCCAAATGTTTTGTCTTACCCTCCCCCCTTAGAATATGAACCCCTTGAAAACAGAGAATGTCTTTCTTTTTTTCTATCATCAGTTCTCTGCACATTCCTTTGCATACTTAATAAATGTTGCATTCGTTCATTCATGAATTGCCTAGGGTACTAAGAGGTAAAATGACTTTTTGGGGGCCAGTACATATCAGAGGCAGATCTTGAACTCAGGTCCTCCTGGCTTTGAGGCTAGCTCTATATACACTACATTATGCTGCTTCTCTGGAAAAGGAATGCTATAATTAAATTAGAGAGGATTCTAAAGTTTTACATGGATAACCTGCCTAAATCAGTAAAGGGAAGGAGATTTCAGAGCTAACTGTAATCATTAAAAGGGGAATTACCAAAAGAGAGCTGGTCACTCAAAGAGGATTATGGGGCTGGCTACCTGAAAAGATTAGTGGAGAGATGCTTCCCTAACAGCAAGGAATTACTACTCTTCAGAGAGTAGCTCGGTGGAGCAGTGTTACTTCATCTTCCCAAAGTTATCCAACGAGATCAGTGAAAAGCTTCCTATAGCAACACCCCGGCAGGAAGGTTTCGTTTAGAAACCACATTGTGGATAGGCTGCTGGACTTTGGGATTAGGAAGGCCTGATGTTTGAATCCTGCCTCAGACTGTTACTAGCTGTGAGACCCTAGGCTGGTCACTGAACCCTTCTCAGTCACTTTGCAGATGTGGAGATGTTTCTATACAGATATTTCCATATCTGTCAAATGGGGGCAAGAATGGCATCTACCTTACTTGGTTGTTGTGAGCATCAAATAAGATAATAGATGTACTTTGCAAAATGCTTTGCAACCCCTAAAGTGATATATGAAGGTTGGCTATTGTGGATAACACTTTTAAGGTTGGAGAGAATGTGCACAGAATTGGCCATTCTACAGTGGGAAGAAACAGATTTTCTGGTTTAATACTAACAGTACCAAGTGTAATATGCAGCCTGGTACAGTGGGAAGAACACTAGCTCTGGAGTCAAAGGAGCTGAGTTCAAAACTCACATCTTATGCTTCCTAGCTGTCTGTACCTTGTTTGACCTACAGAGTTGTTTTGCACGTTGTCTCCCCTGTTAGACTGAACTTCTGGAGAACAGGGACTCTCTTTTAACTTTCTTTGTATTCTGGGCACTTAGCACAGTGCCTGGCTTATGCTATACAGTAGGTGCTTAATAAATGCTTGTTGACTGATTGACCCTAGCCTGTAAGTATATTACAGAATCTCCAAACCAGAATAGACCTCAGAGATTATATAACCCAACACTACTGAGAATCCTCTCACGAATTTTGTTGTTCAGTCATGTCCAACTCTTCATGACCCCCCTTTGGGGTTTTCTTGGCAAAGAGAGTAGAATGATTTGCCATTTCTTTCTCCAGTTCGTTTTACAGATGAGGAAACTGGGGCAAACAGGGTGAAGTGACTTGCCCAGGGTCACACAGCTAGGAAGTGTCTGAGGCCAGATTTGAACTCAGGAAGATGAGTCTTCCTAACTCCAGACTGGGCACTCTATCCGCTCAGCCATCTATCTGCCTCTTACACCCAACAAAAATAGTCATCCATCTTGAACTTAAAAGCCATTCAGTCCAACCCCTCACCCCCATTTTTCAGATGAGGAAACTGAGCCCCAGAGAAGTTATGTGACTTATCCATGGTCACACAGCTAATATTCGAAAAACTTTCCTGGATCTAAACCCAGCATGCTGTGCACTATACCATAATGCCAAGAGCAGAGTCCTCTTGTATAAAATGGGGATGCTCATGTGCCCTACATATTTCAGGGAGTTGTTGGTAGGAAGGTACTTTAGAAACCTTAAAATACTATAGAAATTTGAACTCTTGGGGCAGCTAGTTGGCACAGTGGATAGCACACCGGCCCTGGAGTCAGGAGGACCTGAGTTCAAATCTTACCTCAGACACATGATACTAGCTGTGTGGGCAAGCCACTCAACCCTAATTGCCTTGCCCCCCCCAAAAAAAAAAGTTGAACTCTTGTTCTTAAATATAGAAGGCAGACAGAAGTGCTGCATGTTTGGTTTTTAGATCCCTTACTGCTGTTTCTTCCAGTAAAGTTCAATGAATCTGTGCTGGTAAATTACAATGGATAGAGAGAGAGATAGAGATAGATATGTGTGTATGTATATATGTGTATGTGTATAAATAGACATATATATATATCTATACATATACAAATAATAATACATGTGTGTAAATATATAATATATTGTATATTTAGCATTTGAATATACATATGTGTATAGATATATAGACATAAATGTAAATTTTTCTGTCTCTGTCTTTCTGTCTCTCTCTCTCTCTCTCTCTCTCTCTCTCTCTCTCACACACACACACACACACACACACACACACACACACACACACACATACATACAGTGTCCCAAAAGTCTTAATTTAGTTTTAAGTTATTAATGCTTAAAGCTGATCTAAGAATTGTGGGGTAGCCTTCATATACACTCACCCATGTATATATGTAATTGTACACCTATATCTACAGAGAGAGGAGAGATGGAGCAGAGAACTGAGAGGTTAAAGGACATGCTTACAGTCATACAACCCATGTTAGAGGAGGGACTGACCCTGGGTCTTCCCAGCACTAAGGTTAGTTTTCCATCTGTCACTCTGTACTGAGTCTCCCCTGTATCTTTTAAGCACAGTCACTGAAAAACAATTTGCAATGATGATTGATGTAAATCCTGCTAAACAGGATATGTTCTGTTTACCAGAATACCAGAGTTGGCACGAAGCTGAGTCCCAACTTAGAAATGTGCCTGAGTGTCCTACTCACCCAAAACATTGAATGGAAAGTTTCCATCCCAAGGTAAGTGACATCCATAGTACCTTAGATACTCTAGAACTTGGAATTTTTTTCTTTTTTGGCTAGGCAATGGGGTTAAATGACTTGGCCAGGGTCACACAGTAAGTTTCAAATATCCGAGACCAGATTTGAACTCAGGTCCTCCTGAGTCCTTGGCAGGTGCTCTATCCACTGAACCACCTAACTGCCCCTAGAACTTAGATTATGTATAAAGGTATCACCTCCAGTGGTATGTATCATTCTTTCCTCAACCTCAGTGGAAAGAAATCAATGGCATGAATCGATAATAACAATACAAGCTATAGGGGCACCAGATTGTAGAGTCACAGACTCTGTGAAGCGACCGGGAACTCAGAGGCCTTCCAGTCCCATTTGCCAGAGAATCTCCTCTACAGTGGATGCCAAAAGTGCTCATCCCATCTCTGTTTGATGATCAACAAATGTGGCACAGTGGAGAGAGCCCTGAGTCTGGAGTCAAGAGGAGCTGGGTTCAAATTCCACCTCTGCCACTTATTACCTGAATGTTTTTTTTCATCGTGACCCTGTTTAAGATTTTCTTGGTGGTGATACTGGATGTGGTTTGTCATGTCCTTCTCCCGCTCATTTTACAGATCAGGAAACTGAGGCAAACAGGGGGAAGCGACTTGCCCAGGGTGACATAGGGAGTAAGTGTCTGAGGCTGGATTTGAACTCAGGAAGATGAGTAAAACAGCACATATGGCCTCTGAGGCTCCTTTTAGGTCTCAATCCTTGCTCAGGCCAATAACTTCCATTGAGAGGGATCTCATTCCATTTGGGGGTAGCTCAGTTGTTAGAAGCTTTTCCCAATATGTCAAGCCTAATACAGCCTTTCTCCAGGGTTCCATTGCTTTAAGCAAAACAGCTCCTTCTTTTCCCCATTCATGACAAATAGATGAAGACACCCATCATGTCCCCACCAAGTCTTCTCTTGACCAGTCAGAACATTCCCAGTCCCTTTAAATAATCCTCACATGCCATGTTCTTGAGGGTCATCCCGGCCACCCTCCCTCTGGACACTTGTCAGCTTATCATTGTCCTTCTCACAATATGGTTCCTGGGCCAAATGTGAACATTTGTTTTGATTGACTCCACATGTTTGTAATGGGTTTTGTTTTTCCTTCATTCTCATTTGGGGAGATGGCAAGAAGAAGGATTCTTATTGATTTAAAAAAAAATGATAGATTAAGAAGCTGAAGAAAAGAAAAATATGGCCCCTGGACCTGAACACAAGACTCCCAATGTGCTCTGGATTAAACAAAACAATCCTAGGTGAAGGAGAGCGGACCTAGGTGCCAGATTCCATGCAGCAGCATTTCCCAAGATTCACTGATGTGTTTGGTACCTTTAACATTGCCATGAGCAAGTCAGTTTACCTTATTGGTCCTCAGTTTCCACATCTGTAGCATGAAGGAGTTAGACTGGATAGCCTTTAAGGTTCTTTCCAGCTCTGCAGTTATGCTCCCACGATCTCTTTTGAGATAGAAACAATATCTGCTAGGGTTTTCCCTTTCCCCCACAACATGGGTTAGCCTAGTTTTTCCCTAAAAGATGACAAAGCCCCAGAGTCTTGATTGGCTTAGGGCGCCATGGCTCAAGCTGCTCATGTCCTCATGGGCTCTGGCCATGTTGATGTGGCTTCTTGATCACCTAAGAGCATTAAGCGATCCACTCAGGTGGGGTCAGGGCCCTTCAGACTCAGCTCATTGAAGCCATCTACCAGGCTATCACACATAGCACCACCATCATCTATCAACTGGTGCCACCCAAACTAAACATCTTACTCTGAGCGAAAGCATTCTTCATTACAACTGTCAGAGGTAGTAGCACTGGCCAATATTCTGAATAATATTTTTAGAAACATCCAAGGCCCCCATATATCCACAATCATAGTGTAACCTGCCTGCTGTTACTAAAGCAACAGGAACCTGTGAGTATGACTTGTCCTGGCTCCTGGTGCCTGAAGCACTGAGTGATTAAGATTTTCCCAGAGCCACTTAGCCAATGTGTGTCAGAGACAGGAGTTGAACCTAGCCCTTCCTATTGAAGCCAGTTACCTATCCACTGTGGAAAGCTCCAATGAGATCATATACAGAAACTGCTTTGTAAAGTCATTTATCATTACTGTACTTCACTTAGTTGTATCACTTTTCTCTGGGAGTCACTTTGGTGCATATGTGCCCACATTTTTCCCCTTCTTCCCTTGCCAATAGTAAGACCTCTGTATCTAGGGCCATCTCCAGTCATCCTGATTGATATCTGGCCCCTGGACTCAGAAGGCTCCAGAGGAGAGAATGAGACTGGTGACTTTGCACAGCCCTCCCTCCCTCGCATCAGAGTCAATTGCATGTCATGGCATCACTTCCCTGATGTCATGGTCCTCTTGGAGAACAAAGGACAAACAACACTTGTGAGAATGTGGCTTCCTCCTCCTCTCCACGTCCTGGCTTCCTTCAAGTTCCAGCTTAGATTGTACCATCTATGGGAAGCCTTTCTCCACCCTGCCTAACTAGTCTCTTCTCTCTGATTGATTCTCTCCAGTTTATCCTGTGTCTGTCTTGTTCCTGCACGCTCATTTGCATGTTGTCTTCCCCATCAGACCATGAGCTTCTTGAGAGCAGGGAGTGGATTGTTTTTGCCTTTCTTTATATCCAGCATTGTGCCTGGCACATAGTAGGTGCTTGATAAATACTTATTGACTGAGATGGTGATGATTCAAGACATCTGGCCATGTGGCTAACTATAACAGGAAATCTGGGAAGGGGATTCTTTCCCTTCTGTCAGGTTCTTACGTCTAGGCTCAAAGTGGGAAGAGGGGGCCTATTGTTTACATTTCACTTCCTGAGGTCCATCCTGTCCATTTATCCCCCCTCCCTCCCTCCCTTGTGATTAGGGACATAGTCTACCCACTCAGATCTGTCCTTCCCTTCCCTCCCACTTCACATGTTCCACCTCAGCTCCTTATCTGGACATTCCCATCTTCACTGTCTGCACCCACATAAGTCAGTGTTTCTCAATTCACACCAGTTTCTCACACTGAAGAATTGTCCTTCAGTTAGTCATCATGTGTCCTCCCAGTATGGGGTTCTCTCACAAGTAAAAAAAACAGCATGCAATCTTGGGCAGCCTGGGCTTTCACTCCTTGCAAAATACTCTGTGACAGGAGTTATTCTGTGCTTTTTGGTCAGTCCAAAAATAGGAAGAAGAGGGACCACTTTTAACTTTGTACCTTAACCATACCTTTGTTGCTTTCCTGTCCTCATTCAGCAGCCAGGCTTTGTCACCTCCTTGTGTTCAAGTGCTCTATTAATATTTTGATGGGTCTGGGATCTCAGACATGCAAATCACAACCCACCCCTCCCATGTGACTCTCATTTTTGTCTTTCCATAAGTCTTCCAAAGGGGTCCACTAAACATGCTGGGGACCTTCCTGTAGACCAGAGGTTCTTAACATGAGGTCCATCACTCCCAAGGGGGTCTATGTTTAGTTTTCAGGGGGTCCCTGATCTTAAACAGGGAAAAAATTTACATTTTTATTTTAATAATTATTTTGTTTTGTAATCCCATGTATTTTATTTTATACATTTAAAAAGTGTTCTGAGAAAAACCAATAAACTTCACCAGACTGCCAAAGGGATTTAATATACAAAAAAAAAATTAAGAACCCATGCTTTAGATTTCTTGATGTTGCATGGACACCACATGGGCTGTCCATCAGTTTGTTTTCCCTTCCTCTCACCACATCACTAGTCCACCATCTTTTCTAGTTGTACACCTCTCTGACGCTATCCTTTATGCCTCTTTTCATACTCAGTTCTTCACTGGCACCTTTTGGTGACCTTCAATTTGAATTCTTTGGAAACTATGGCTTTCTGTGACTTGTAGTCATACAGCATCTCCAGAGGATTATTGTTGTTAAAAATCTGGATCTTTTATCCAAGAAGAAGCTGTGACCATTAAAGGCACTGTGAAATTTCCCCAAAACAATTCAGCCTGTTCTTCCTTCTTGTTCAATCCCAGGCCCAGCTCATTTTCACAATGTCTGCCCAAGAAGAGCTTCTACGGGCCATCCATCCAACTGCATTGAATGATAGCTTGGACGATTCATCAGCTTGGATTTTCCTGCATGGATAGTGAGAAAATTAAAATTGTTTCTGTAGCGGCCTAGGTTATAGTTCATTGTCTCTGAGCTTAGTGCAGAAATTCAGCTGGTCTGTAATGAGTTAAATGTAGACACGCAGTTTTCCTGTTTATCACTGTTCTAGTCTTTTTTTTTTTAACTAGGCAATTGGGGTTAAGTGACTTGCCCAGGGTCACACAGCTAGTAAGTGTCAAGTGTTTGGTCTGAGGCTGGATTTGAACTCAGGTCCTCCTGATTTCAGGGCTGGTGCTCTATGCACTGCGCCACCTAGCTACCCCACTGTTCTATTCTTGCCTCAAGGAATTCTGTTATCCTTGGGGGATGAGGGTAGACAACAGAGTGTCTGGTCTAGTGTCTTTACACCACCAAGCTATTCTTTGAGGATGTCTGGTTTGCCGTCCAAAGAAATCTGATCTCGCAGGTTGGCTTAAACAATGAACATTCCTTAGTTACAGGAGGGAAGGAGGGAGTTGTTGCTAGCCCTTCATTCCCAGCTTCCAGCCAGTCATATTGTTCCCAAGACCTCAGCTATATCCAGTTATGTTGCTCTCAAACTCATGACGTCACCTGTTCTGTTCTAACCTTACAAAAATGAGTAGTCTTTATCCTGGGGTCTTTGGCTACATTGAGGAAAGCCATTGACCCATTCTGTTGGCAGGTAGCATCCCTGTTAATAAAATGTTAACTTGCTCGGACAAAGCATGCTTCAGTTTACCTTTGTTGAATTTTACTTGCAGCAATAGTTAGGTCTAACTTTTTGGAGGGATGCTGGATCTGATGTAGGAGCCCCCGCAATGTTCCGGGGCTTGACAGAATCAACACAATGCCACCAGAAACAGGAACACTTGAATGATCTCACCGTTGATGGGGAACCCCTCTTCCATTGGAACTACATTAAGGACAGTATCTGCTCACCTTGTCCATGGTCACACCGACACCTTTGAACATCTACCTCCCTATTTCGTGCTTATTTGATATTAATAATCATATGCTCATTAAACAAAATTATTTGTTGTTACAACTTTCAAGGAATTTCGAATGCTTTTTTTTTTTAGGCAATTGGGGTTAAGTGACTTGCCCAGGGTCACACAGCTAGTAAGTGTTTTGGTCTGAGGTCAGATTTGAACTCAGGTCCCCCTGACTTCAGGGCCAGTGCTCTATCCACTGTGCCACCTAGCTGCCCCAATTTTGTATGTTTTTGTCATATTCATGAGAGAAAGGAAATAGAAATATAGTTGCTAGTTATTACAATTCTCCTGACTGCCTTTTGGGGAGAACAATAAGAATAGAGTTGTTTGGCTGTTTTTTTTTTAAGCTGTTAGTATCCTCGCTTCTCTCAGAATACCTTGAGCAATGATCCCTTAGTGCCTTAAGATTGTGCCACCTTCGCCCAGCTCAAACCTCCTCTTTTTAAGATCGGTCCAGTCCAGCTCTTCTTCCTGTGTCTGTTTTTCGCAATGTCATTTACACTGCGTCTGGAAACCCATCTGGAACTGTTATGTCAGAGGCCAACTGTAATGATTCCACAGTCAATGGGGAAAAGAATTTGTTATTAAAATCTTCACTAATCTTTTCCATTTCTGTCTGTCCTCTTCCTTTTAGTCTCATTCCAAAATGCTTGTGAGATGACTTTGCTTACTTAGGTCTCTTGCCAAGCTTTCTGTAAATTGCTTTCCCCTTATTTGCTTCTTACTGTTTTGTGAGATGATAATGCCCATACTCTTCCACCAATTTCCTCCATAAGATTTTACAAACCTCTCTACATCCTAAATCAGAATGCTGCTCTGAGATGTTTTGCAAAGAGACTCAGGGTTTTCTGGCTAAGGCAGCTTCTGGGCTTCTGGGCTTCCCACTGTGAAGATGGATTTATATCACTTAGACTTCCTTAAGAAATGAAAGGAATCTGTGTCAATGTGAGTTCCTTTATCCATTTCCCATTTTTTATCATCAACTGCTTATTTAAATATTTCAAATTTAACTTATCCTTCTAGTTTATTTAGGGTTTTGATCTTCATTGTTGCTCTGATTGTATCCAGAATGATTATTCAGAAGTGATTCCTCGATTAGTAACCAATTGATTCTTTTCTGTCAAAATATAAACAATTTAATTTTTGGTGAGGTTATTTTGTACTTGACATAGTCATAAACTCTTGATTCATTCCTTAAAGGGAGTATTAATAATTGATAACTGATTATCAAAGTATTAATAATTGATAGGTTTATATCTTTTATACAGTGTATAGACTTTTGACTGATCTCATTTTTTGTGACACGTTTTCCAACATTTGTTGTGATCCTAAGGACCTAGGTCCACATCTGCAGTGAGTATTAATAATTGATAGGTTTATATCTTTTATACAGTGTATAGACTTTTGACTGATCTCATTTTTTGCTGACACGTTTTCCAACATTTGTTGTGATCCTAAGGACCTAGGTCCACATCTGCAGTGAGTATTAATAATTGATAGGTTTATATCTTTTATACAGTGTATAGACTTTTGACTGATCTCATTTTTTGCTGACACGTTTTCCAACATTTGTTGTGATCCTAAGGACCTAGGTCCACATCTGCAGTGAATTCACCAAGTATCAAAAGACATCAATTTAATTTAGGTTCAGTTCTTAGTTGTTGTTGTTCAGTTGCTTTTCAGTTGTGACCAATTCTCTGTGACCCTACTAGGAGTTTTCTTGGTGAAGACACTGGAGTGGTTTGCCATTTCCTTCTCCAGCTCATTTGACAGGTGAGGAAACTGAGGCAAACAGGGTTAAGTGACTCGCCCAGGGTCACAAAATTAGTAAGTGGATGAGGCTGGACTTGAAGATAAGACCTCCCAACTCCAGGGCCAGTGCTCTATCCTCTGCACCACCCAGCTGCCCCAAGTTCTTAGTAGAATTTCTCCATAAAATTAAAGCTTATATGCCAACTAAGTAATAATAATAATCGGTAGCATGTATATGGTGCCTTAAGGTTTCGCGAAGCATTTTGTAAATATTACCTCCTTTGATCCTCACCACCACATTGGGAAGTAGATGCTATTATTAGCCCCATTTTACACGACACCGAACTGAAAGGATGAAAGGACAAAGAAGAAATAACACATATCCCTGGTTACCTTTGGATTTACATCATAAAGTTGGTTTGCTTTTAGGAACAACTCCAGGTCTTTCCCAAATCTAGGGCAGCCCTCTGCTTTGCCAGGCTGCTTCTGTTAGATACTTTTCTTGGCACCCCTGTTAGCTCAGCCACCACCCTATTTCAGGCCCTCATCGCCTCCTGCCTGCTATTGCCTTGGCCTCCCAATCCCTGCCCTCCCTGATCCATCAGCGCCCTCATGAATAGCTCTGAAGCAGAAACGTGGACGTGTGGCTGCCCTACTCAGGAAGCTGCCTGTCATCTCTAAGCACAAACTTAGAGGCCTTCTCAGTCGGCCTCCCACCCATCCTTCCAGGCTCATTTCATGTTTGTGCACCCTATACATTCCCGCCCAACTGACTTTTCAGCTCTTCTCTGGGCGGTGCATGCCACCGCCTGTTGCTACACTCCTGGACCGGCCATCTCCCGTGTCTGGCATGTGTGGCCTCTTCATCTCTGCCGCCTGAAATTCCTCACTCTATTTAAAACTCAGCTTGAACATCACCTCGCACCAAGACTTTCCTGGTGCCCTCCCCTAGAATTTACTGTCTGGGGTCACTTATTATGGTAGTCACCTTCATTTCCCACCAGCCGGTCCTTGGCTTTGACTCCCCCATCAACATGCCCATCACCATGTGGTAACAACCCCAAGTCACAGTCATCCTTCATCAGTACCCTCAGTTGTTTCTGCCCCAGGGAGTGGAGGGCAGGAGCAGGGGAGCGGTCCTCTATAAACACCCCAGAAACCCAGCCAACCCTTCATTTCCCCCAGCTTCGCTCCTTCCATTAAACCCCATTATCAGTATATCCATGTATAAGATACCTTCCCCCGCCCCTCCACTTTTCAGCTTCCTTTTTGTGTATTGCTTTCCCCTCTTAGATTGTAAGCTCCTTGAGGCCTGGGACTGTCTTTCTTTTTCTTATTTATGTCCCCACATAGTAAATGCTTTATAAATGTTAATTGTAGTAGTAGGAGCTGTAGTAGTGGTGGTAGTAGTAGTAGTAATAGTTGCAGTAGTCATAGTAGTAGTAGTAACAGTATAATAGTAATAATAGTAGGAGGAGTAGGAGTAATAGTTGTAGTAGTAATAGTAATAGTAGTAATAATGATAGCATAATAAGAGGAAGAAGAGTAATAGTAGTAAGTAGTAGTAGTAGTAATAGTAGTGGTAATAATAGTAATAATAGGAGTAGGAGTAATAGTTGTAGTAGTATAATAATAGGAGGAGGAGGAGGAGTATTATTATTAGTTAGTAGTAGTAGTAGTGGTAATAATAGTAGTAGTAATAGTAGTAGTAGTAGTAATAGTATAATAATACTAGGAATAGGAGTAATATAGTAGTAATAGTATGATAGGAGGAGAAAGAGGAGGAGTAATAGTAGTAGTAGTAGTAGTAGTAGTATTCCTGGGGCTTAGCAGGCTTAATAACTTAGTAAGTGTTTATTGTATTGTTTTGTACTTAAACGTCACTCCGCCTCAGTTTCCTCCCGTCTGAAATGGGGGTGATACTCTGACCTAGCTCCTAAGGTGGTCCCAAGAATCAAATGAGATTACCTATGTCAAATGCCATCTAAATGCTGGCTATTGTTATCCTCTCCCCAAACCTGGAAGGGAGGTGCTATTAGTATCTTTTATTTCACAGATGAGGGACCGAGGCTGACAGAGGTTAAGTGACTAGAAAGCAGTTTCTGGGAGATGGCACTAGCAGTTGGGGGAAATCAGAGAAACTGTGGCTGGGGCACCATCTGAGCTGTCTTAAAGGGAGCTGGAAATTCCAAGAGGTTGAGGTGATGGAGGCAGAGCGTTCCCAAGGAAGATTCTTCAGGACCCAGGTAAAGACTCACCCGCTCTGTGAAATCAAGACTGCAGCCCATTTGTTTCCTGCTTCTGTGCTATAGCACCCTGGAACGTGGTGGGATGAGTGTCACCAACATGGTGCCAGGAGATCGGAGTTCGGGTTTTAGATGCAATGCTTCCTAGCTGTGTGGCAGTAGGCAAGTTACTGAGCCTCAAGATTCTTCATTTGGTGTTCTCCATCCCCCGAAAAAGAACTGATGGTGTCTGAATACAGATTGAGGCATACTGCTTTTACTTTATTTTTCTTGAGGGGTTTTTTTTTTGGTCCATGTTTTCTTTCAACACATGACTATTATGGAAATGTTTTTCATGACTACACGTGTATAACCTATATCAGATTGCTTGCCTTCCCAGTGAGGAGGGATGGGGTAGGCAGAGAGGAAGGGAGAGAATTTGAAACTCCAAGTTTTAAAAAAGAATATTAAAAATTGTTTTTACATGCACCTGGGGGAAAATGTAATACTAAATAAATTTTTTTAAAAAATAAACAAATTTCTTCATTTGAAAAATTGGCAATAATGACAATTCTGAGTGAAGTGTAGTGGGAAGAATGCTTGATATGAATTCAAAAGATCTATGTTTGATTCCCAGATCTTGTTATTCACAACCAGTAAGTCAATAAACATGTACCAAGCACTTACTACATGCCGTACTCTGTGCTAAGCACCATATACATTTCCCCTCTTTGGGCCTCAGTTTCCTTATTTCTAAAAAGGAAAAGGTTGGACTACCTGATCTTTAAGGGTCTTCTCATTTTTTAATCTTATGATCCTCTGACTTACTTCCTATGGTTATCGTGAGGAATGTGCTTTGTACATCGTGAGGTGCTAGAAAAACGTGAGTCTTTATTTTATGTTTTTCCTATTTCATATAACCTCTTTAGGACACCATCTTCAAAGAGCTGCAAAATTATCATTGTGGGTACTCCCTTTGCCAGTGCAAGTTGTGACCCATGACCCACTGTCAGCGACCTGTGAAATGATT